CTCCCTCCAGGCAGCCAACCGCACCACCATCAAGACGTACGGCCAACGCTTTCTCAAACTTAATCTGGGCCTGTGCCGCTGCTTCCCCTTCATCTTCACCATCGCAGATGTGCCCCATCCCATCATTGGTGCCAATTTCCTGCACAAATTTGACTTGTCGGTCAGCGTTCGCAGGAAGGTGCTGGTCGACGACAAGACCGGCCTTACGGTGCGTGCTACCACCTCCGACCATTGTCTCCAGCGCCTGGCCGATCTCCCTGCCCCCTTTTCGTCTCCGTACCCGACCTCGTTGCTGCGTTTCCCGAACCTGACAAACCCCACGCGGATGACCGAGCCAGCGCCTCACGATGTCGTTCATCACATCGAGACGACCGGTCCCGCCAAGTTCCAGCGTTTTCGACGACTGGCCCCCGCGAAGCAACGGATCACTGAAGCTAAGTTTGATCACATACTTCAGCTCGGAATCATTCGTCCTTCGAGCAGCAAATGGGCCTCCACGCTACACGTTTCCCCAAGCGAAGGCAGGTGATTGGCGTCTATACGGAGACTACCGTGCCCTCAACTCCGTCACCATCCCCGACTGCTATCCCATCCCACACATCCATGACTGCGTGGCCTTCCTTCACGGGAAGTCAACCTTCTCAACCATGGATCTGGTGAGGGCCTATCACAAAATACCGGTCGCCCCAAAACACACTCCCAAGACAGCCATTACCACCCCCTTTGGCTCATTCGAGTTTCTCCGAATGCCTTTCGGCCTCCGCAAGGCATCGCAGACTTTCCAGCGTTTCATTGACTCTGTCTTGCGTGGTCTCGATTTCTGCAGTGCCTATATCGACGACATTCTCATCGCCAGCAGCAACAAAGAAGAGTGCCTGCAACACCTGGAAACTGTGTTTTGCCGCCTGAAAGAGTCGACTGATATGGTGGATTTGTGTTTTCATCAGAATGGTTTTTCAAGACGCGAGCACCAATGAAGAGCTACTCACCATTTTGCCATTAAAAGGACACACCAGGGGGGAGGATATTTTTAATGCTTTCACGGGATTTGTTCGCGGGACAAAACTGCCATTTTTCAAGCTGATCTCCATCACAACTGATGGTTAAGCAGAGGAAAAATTCTGGCCAGATTTACGGAGCTGTTGCCTGAAATCAAGGACTTCCTGAGGCTTTCACAACACGTGGATTACCATACAAAGCTTGAGGACCATCAGTGGCTTTTAGGTTTATCTTTCTTCACTGATCTCACTGGCGAGCTCAATGAATTTAATTTAGAGCTGCAGGATAAGGGTAAAGATGTCAACATGATGAGCTCAGTGAGCATATTTAAAAGCAAGCTAAAGCTGATGTCCAACAGGCTGCAGCTTGGTAACCTCTGCAACTTCCCTCACATGCAAGCAGAACTACGTCAAGGGAAAGGTGTGACACAGCTTGACAGTGCACGTTATGAGGAGCATGTTCAGAGCATCTCGTCAGAGTTGGAGAGGTGTTTTACTGACTTTGCATCCAATGAGCCTATAGTCAGCTATATGTGTTATCCATTTGGTGCAAGTATTGACGTTGGTGACATTGCCACCCAAGTCAAATCACTTTTCAACTTTGAAAGTTCCAATCTTGAGGATGAGATTCTGAGATTGCAAAATGACATTGAGATCAAAGCCAGACCAACATCCGCTCAACCTGGTAAGCATGTAGCGTTCTGGAAAATACTGGTGGCAGAGAAGTATCCCAATCTCAGTAGATGTGTTTTGAACCTGACAGCTCTTTTTGGATCAACCTATTTGTGCGCGTCTGCTTTCTCGCACATGAACATCATCAAGTCCAAGTACAGATCAACACTGACTTATGGTCACCTTGCAGCCTGCCTACGCCTTGCAACCAGCTCCTACACTCCTAACTATGAAAATCTAGCCTCCTAAGGTAGGAAGTGATTTCCTTTTTTCAAACAGAGATCTACCTGTTTTGTAGCTGGGTTTTTTTTTTCTTGTTGGTTGATATTAAGGTCAGTAATGGCTATTGCTCATCATGCAGTGTGTGTGTGTGTGTGTGTGTGTCGCGCGTGTGTGTGTGTGTGTGTGTGTGTGTGTGTGTGTTGTCCGATGTTGACACTGGTAGATCTCCGTAGGTTGGCTCCTTGAAAAGTAGCCCTTGGGACAAAAAAAGGTTGGGCACTGGGTTGTTCAACAAGATCTTAGATGGTGAGAAGATGCCTGAGGAATGGAGGAGAATTGTGCTGGTGCCCAGAGAGAGAACAATGGAGATGTGCAGAGTTGTAGTGACTACAGAGGAATAAAGTTGATGAGCCATACAATGAAACTATGGGAAAGAGTAGTTCAAGCTAGACTAAGAGCAGAAGTGAGCATTTGTGAGCAGCAGTATGGTTTCATGCCAAAAAAAGAGTACGACAGATGCAGTATTTGCTTTAAGGATGTTGATGGAGAAGTACAGAGAAGGTCAGAGGGAACTGCATTGTGTCTTTGTAGATCTGGAGAAAGCGTATGATAGGGTGCCCAGAGAAGAACTATGGTATTATATGAGGAAGTTTAGGATGACAGAGAAGTACGTTAGAGCAGTGCAGGACACGTATGATGACTGCAAGACAGTGGCGAGCTGTGCTGTAGGTGTGACGGAGGAATTCAAGGTGGAGGTGGGACTTCACCAGGGGTCAGCTCTGAGCCCCTTCTTATTCGCTATGGTGATGGACAGGCTGACAGACGAGGTTAGACAGGAATCTCCCTGGACTATGATGTTTGCAGATGACATTGTCATCTGTAGTGAGAGCAGGGAACAGGTGGAGGAGAAACTAGAGAGGTGGAGGTTTGCCCTGGAAAGGAGAGGAATGAAGGTCAGTCGCAGCGAGACGGAATACGTGTGTGAATGAGAGGGACCCAAGTTAAGAGTGAGGTTACAGGGAGAAGAGATAAAAAAGTTGGAGGATTTTAAGTATTTGGAGTCAACTGTTCAGAGCAATAGAGAGTGTGGAAAAGAGGTGAAGAAGCGTGGAAAGGCAGGTTGGAACGGCTGGAGAAAAGTGTAAGGTGTGATGAGTGATAGAAGACTTTCAGCTAAGATGAAAGGAAAGGTGTATAAAACTGCGGTGAGACCAGACATGCTGTCTGGACTGGAGACAGTGCCGCTGAACAAAAGACAGGAGGCAGAGCTGGAGGTAGCATAGATGAAGATGTTGAGGTTCTCTTTGGGGATGACCAGGTTGGATAGGATCAGGAATGAGTACATCAGAGGGACAACTCATGTTTGAGGTTTTGGAGAGAAAGTCAGAGGGGCCAGACTAAGATGGTTTTGACATGTCCAGAGGAGAGAGAGTGAATATATTGGGAGAAGGATGCTGAGTCTTGAACTGCCAGGCAGCAGGCCAAGACAAAGACCAAAGAGGAGGTTTATGGATGTAATGAAAGAGGAAATGAAGACAGCTGGTGTGAGAGAAGAGGATGCACAAAACAGGGTTAGATGGAGGCAACTGATTCGCTGTGGCGACCCCTGAAGGGAAGAGCCGAAAGGAAAAGAAGAAGCTCCATGTACAGCACTTTGTATACAGCGATGGTGAGTGAATTGTTAACAACAGTTTAACTCTTAACCAAGATAATTTAGTCGCATTTAAGCAGCCAACACAACCACCACCGGTCACCAGATTGACTGGCATTGTGTGATTATTTTTTTTTTCCCCTACTGTTGGAGGAGGCATGCCCTCCTCTTGTCAAAGCAACCCGCAGTCTGTACTCACCCTGGCATACAAACACGCACAACACAAGTGGCGTGTAGCGATAGTTCACAATCGGTCTGGGTATAGTATTCAACTATTGATGCACACAAAGTGGAGGAAAAATAAGTCATCCAACAAAAAAGACAGTTGAAAAAAATGAATAACAAAGACAGTAAACAATGCTGAGACTCATGCTGAGTCAAAGGCTGTTGAAGAATAATGTGTTTGAAGTCGAGTAATAAAAATGGACAGGGAGCTTGCCTAATGTAAAGTGAAAGCTCATTCCAAAGACGTCTGGCCACGGAAAAAGTTTGATCGAGGCCCTGCCCAACTGCTCCTACTGCGTTGTCTCATGGATCTGTTGTGAAGGTGACCAGTGGAGTGGGAGATGGGCGCACGAGCAAAGCTGCAATGGCCAAAGCAACCTTCACAGTCGAAAGCTTTATCCATCTTCAGGGACCAGTCCAATGCATTCTTGGGGTCTTTTCCCCACAAAGCCTAGTACGGGGGTCGGCAACATGCGGCTCCAGAGCCGCATGAGGCTCTTTAGCGCCATCTAGTGGCTCTCTGGAGCTATTTTTTTGTTTTAAATATGGTTTCTGTAGGAGTAAAAACATGACACAAACATTCTTAACGTTTTCCAACGCTGTAAAAATGTGTAGAATAAATATTACATTTCAACGTTTCTGTCAAAGAAGATTTGCGTCACACCCTGTGACACCCATTTCTATTAGCAGGGTGGGAGCAAGGCAAGTGGCTGTAGCAAAAAAAAAAAAAAAAAAAAAAAATTTGGAAAAACCGCCGTTTCATGTACAATTCACAGAGGGTACTGGCTAAGAGAATCTGGAGGGCCGTGAAAAGCATTTTTAAAACAGTACACGTGAGCTACGATAGTCAAAAACGCTGCAAAAGTGCGTCCCATGCCTCCGCGTCAGATCTCGACGAAGTAGGTAGGCATGCGTCTGTAAGTGTGTTGTGTATGCGCGGGTCAATCGCGGTAGGTTGGTTGAACGAAAAGTAGATCTTCGGTCAAAAAACGTTGGGCACCCCGCTCTACAGAATGCACTGCACGGAAAAAAAAACATTTAATCATGAAGGCTCATTGTGTAATTGTAGCAAACTTAGTCATTTTGATAGTAGGCTAATATAGCTCATATAGATATACATGTAGCTCCGAAAAAAGGAGAGCTGTGGTGGTGTTTTTTTTTTTTTTTTTAAACAACACTTTGTTTTTAACAGTCTCGCAAACACAGACACGTCTGCGTCCGACTCCATGCCTTCTCTCCTCTTGTTCGACTCGAGAGGCGTTCAAAAACAGCCTCCGAAAAACGGAAATTAATGATCACTTCAATGACACTAAGAAAAGCGAAAATAATGAACCAAAATAGAAAATCAAGCGAGGAAATCACAAAATAAATTCTATGGGGGCGTTTGTGAACACATAACAAAGGAATGAATAACAAACAATTCTGAGACAGTCCAGTCCCCTACATACATACAGCATGTGTTTCCTTCATTCTAAGTTTTATAGAAGGCTTTTATTTTTTTGCGGTTCCAGACATATTTGGTTTTTGGTTGTTTTTTTTTGTCCTATATGGCTCTTTTTGGGTTTTGGGTGCGGTCGTATCGAACCCCCAGGAAGGTGGGAGTGGGATTCATCTTGAATCTGGAACCCCCAATGGTTATGTTTGGGCACCATAAGGATTCGGCAGCGTCCATTGTGAAGAAGGCAACTTCCGACTTTGATGTGTTGAGTGTGAGATGATTGTCCGCGGACCATTGGGTAACTTTGGAAGCCTCTGACTCTAGTCAAACCGTCACTTCTTCTTTATTACGCCCGCTACAGACCAGCGCCAAGTCGTCAACGTAGGCAGAGACAAGGGTGGAGGACTCAAAGGAGTTAAGCAGGTCATTGATGTAAATGGTAAAGAGCAGTGGAGGAAAAACCTAGCCTTGGGGGAGGCCTTCTTTGTAAGTTCGGCAGCGTTCAGTGGTACCGTTCACCCTCACGCGCGCCGTACGGTTAGTGAACCAGGTTTTTATCCACTCAACAAACCGAAGAGGTACGCGAATCGCCAGCATCTTCTGGAGGAGATTGGCACGCAACACCTGATCGTACGCCTTGCTGGAGTCAAGGAAATCAGCAATGGATCGCAGATGTTTGGACTCGAACCCATCCATGATGAATTGGGACAGCCGTAGACATTGATCGGCGGTCCAGCGGCCTTTGCGGAACCCACCCGCCACGGGCTGAGTATTGAGTGCTCCTTTAGGCACCTAGACAAGAGGTTGATGATGAGTCTCTCCAGGGTTTTGCTAATGGTGGAAGTTAGGGCGATTGGGCAGTAGTGCCCGATGAGTTGAGGGTCCTTGCCCATTTTATGGTACGGGATGATCTCTGCCATGCGCCAGGCTTGGGGGCACCATTGTGTGGTCCAGCTGGATCTGGAGGAGGACGGGAAGTGCAGCAGGGGGCAGGTATTTCAGCATCTCTGGGGCAATTCTGTCTGGACCAGCAGCATTGCCTGGCTTGAGTTGATGGAGGGCTCGGCGGAGTTCGTCAGGTGTGAATGGGCACCCGAGTGATTGCCGAGTGGAACCCTGTAGTCTACGGGTATCTATTCAAAGCCCTCGTGCGATCCACCTGCTTGACTTATTGCTTCTGCGCCCACTCACCCTCGCGTATTTGATGACAAAGGTCGTCGCCTTAGCCATGTCTGAGGCGTACTCGCGGTTATACGTGAGCGTTTTGCTTGTTTTATGTGATGGTGGTCTGGATAGAGATTTGACCATGGCCCACACTTGTTTTGTGTCTTTGGTCTCCAAGATATTTTGGAGATGGAGGTGCCAAGCTTCGGCGTTTTGCCTCTGCCGTCTTCTCAACTACCTCGGCATTTTTGCAGGTAACTGTCTGGTAGTGGCGTTCAGGTTTCTTTGGAGCCTATTCCTCTCCTTGATGAGTTTCTTCAAGTCTCCGTTCATCCACTGGACGTTGTTCGGGCGGAAGACTTGAGAAGTGGTGTTGGTTCTGCGGACAGACCAATGTTGGGGAGTTCTCAAAGGACAGCTTTTTTGTATTTGTCCCAATCACCTTTCTTGAAGTTTAGGGTGACTCTTCGCCTCTCCACCTCGATCTTTTGAGGAGAATTTGACTGTCGGGCCACCTCAAGTTAACTAATGGTAACACCGGCCACTGGTACCAATTTCTTGGGCCCGACTAATTAATTGTCCTATTTTTATTACTTTCACTTTACTTTTACAATAGGTTGTAGACTTTATGTTTCGTGTATGCACTTTTAATAACTGCTCTCATTGGGAACTTAATGGTGTCAGGCTTCTGTTGTTCGGCCTGACCAGCAAGTGGCAGTTCGAGCGTATTTTCTGGTTGCACACCTGCTGCCAATCTTGTAATTAAGGGACGTTGTATATAGGGCCCTTCGGCTGTCGAAGGGTTGTCGGAGTATTGTGTATGGCATTGCTACTTCCACGCTCGTTGACCTTTTTCTGCTGTCGTTCTCGTCGTGTTTTTCGCTATCAGCTTCTCGGTACTATTTACTCTGCTCGGCAGACTTTTATTTTATATACTGGATTTTTCTCGCGTGTTTTTCTATACGTTGTTTTTCTTTTGCATAGTTGGTTCTAGTTTTCTTCCCTTGCCTTTTGGATGCAAGCGCTTTTTGTTAGTTACTTCGTGTTCTTCCTGGTCCTTGTTTGTGGTCCAGCGCCTTTTGTTAACCATTATTATTATATACATGTACAACTGTTTGTCACAGAGATCTTGTTGACGTCTGCGATTATTGGGATCCAAAACCTTATTCAGCTCAACCGAAATCGTGACAAATGGAAAGTATAAACAAAAATGACTGATGTTCCATTTTTCCAGTATTTTTTTTAGGGGACAGTAGTAATGGGAATTTGACATTTACAGTTTTAAAATATATCTTATAACTAACTGTTTGTACCATTGTGTGTGCTGACCATGTTATCTGTAGATAGGCAAAGTTGCTTGCTTATGCGTCAGACTTCATCCTGTAATCTGTAAGTGTAGCTTTCTGACTTTAACCGCTCCCAATAAGAGATAAATGGTATAAAAGGGGAGCACCCCACTGCTCGGGGGAGGCTCCATAACAGATGTGTAAATGTTGCTTCTCCAATTTTTTTGTAGCTGAAATAAATCGCATTATTTTACAAAGACTTTCGTTGTCTTGGTTTCCCTGGACAAGACAATTGCCATTTGTTCCAATTGATGTCTTCCTTCTACTGTTATTTTCTGAACTTTCTCCCTTTCTAATCATCTCACCCATCCTGAGTCTCTCTCTGTGGTCTGCTGCACTACACTGAGCGATAACCGCCTGAAATGCAGACCTGATTGAGCGAATAATGTAACATGGTGAAGGAATAATTATATTTTGGTTGTCATACATTGTATATGTGAATGATGAAGTATGTTTTTGCTTGCTATGTGCAAAGAAGAATACTTGTTCGCGAGGAAATACATGCTTGAGATTCACTCCTTTGCACCAGTTATATATTGTGTGAAAAGAGGAACGATGTCTCACAATCTGAACCGAAAATAGTTGCTTGATGATTGAACTGTTGCATATGGTTTCACATATGTAATTAGTAACCTTGCACCCACATACACACATACAGTAAACATTCCCATCCTCAGAATTCTATGAAAAGGAATTTCCTTCACCTGGAATAAAAACCTATGCATTAACATTTTGACTACGACATTACATGTTATCGGAACTTACGTAAGCGGAAATTCCACTAGCCATAACCCGGATGGCCGCGGCAGCTTAAATACACGCAACGCCCACCCGATGCGACGGAAAGACAGACGGAAGACACGTTTTCACTTTGCCTTTTTCTATCATCAGATCCGAAACGACGACATGTAAGTGACTTTTTGTTGCCGTGCGTGTTACTCTAATTGCTTAAGATTTTTAACTTTATTCACTTATGTCCCATAGATCACGGCACTAGCTTAAAAAGCAGTGCCCACTCGACATGACGGAAGAAACGTGTTCGCTTCGCCGTTTTCATTCATCAGATCCGAAACGACGATGTGTAAGTGAATTTTTATTGCCGTGCATTTTATTGTAATTGTGAATGATTTTAACTTTATTCACTTACGTCCTGTAGAACGCGGCATAACTTAAAAAGCAGCACCCACTCAACACGACAGAAGAAACGTGTTCGCTTCGCCGTTTTCATTCATCAGATTCGAAACGATGACGTGTAAGTGACTTTTTATTGGCGTGCATTTTACTGTAATTGCGAAAGATTTTAACTTTATTCACTGACGTCGGGTAGATCAGTGTTTTTCAACCGGGTGTGCCGCGGGAAAATATCCAATTTGTATGCCTGTGCGGTCTTTCGCCCAGAAAGTAATCATGTAGTACCCTCTCATACCGCTAGGGAGCAGCAGCAGCTAGCCAATTGCCTTGTGTTTCGACGAGACAAGCGAATTTGTAACGCATGAATGCAGAACGACGGTGAAACAATAAATATGAAGAATGATAAAATACTGGTTTCTTTGTGTTCATTTGATTCCAATTCAAGCTGTTATAACGTCATTCTTCAATGTTAAATGAGTATAAATAAACTGAGAAATTATATTTTAATTAAATACACTGTTCAGAGTGTCATTTTATCACATTTTTGGTTAGTGGTGTGCCGCAAAATTTTTCCAATGTAAAAAACGTGCCCTGGCTCAAAACAGGTTGAAAAACACTGGTGTAGATCATGGCATCGAAACGTAGAAGAACTGTAATAACTGTAGCGGAGCGAGTAAAATGCATCCGTTTGAGCGAGGCTGGACACAAAGTAAAAAGCATCCAGGAGACACTTGGAGTCGGAAAGACGCAAATCAATTCAACTCCTGATGACATGCCACCATCCAGCAAGGAAACAATGCAAATGGCAACAAAAATCCTTCAGTATGCACAAGAATCACCAGACATCGGTGATCAACAGGACAGTTACTTGCAACTAGAAAGAAAACTGTATGACACGCAGGCAAACATTGTCATAAACCAAAGAATGCATCCAACAAAACAATCCAAAATAGACACATTTTTCCCCAAGACAGAATAAAATAAACATTAAAATAGTGTACGTATAGTACTGTTGTGATTTTTTTTGGATACAGCTGTATTGCAGTTTTTGTTATATAAACAGTTTTTGGACAGTATATTTTTGCATTTTATTGATTGTGCTGTTAAACGTGCATTTTGTCAACATACTTGCAGGTTCATAAAGGTCATGTACCATGGTCATTTCCCAAATGAGGCATTTCTGTTATCAGGACAGATTGGACAGCGCAAACACGAGTCCGTACTAAAGAATATTTACTGTATAGTCAAACAAGTTGAAGTGCTTTCCAACCATAGTTAAACCCCGACTGCTTACATTGGAAACCCCAATGTGATTTCGGGACTTCTGATGAAATAAATAGAGCAGGGGTGGCCAACCCGCGGCTCGAGACCCCCATGCGGCTCTTTGGCTGGTTCAATGTGGCTCCTGGGCTTTCACATGACAAGCATCGAAAACGCCTCGGCGGTGGCACTGCCATTCAAACAACGGTGCTAAATACACAGAACTAACTACGTCAGCCTATCATCAATCCCGTTACTTGATTGACATACAGGGCAACCAATCAGATGACAACTGAATCACCGCTCATGCGCAAACAACGATGCTCAGCGCTAACGCGCTAAGCTAGTCAGCTTTAAAGGTAGGGGTGCCCAATACGTCAATCGCGATCGACCCGGAACCAGCGGACTGGTCCTAAGTCGAGCGCGAGCATTGGGAGGAGGAAATGGGGGTGGGGGGATATATGTCTGTGTGTTTCGATTTCGTTCGTGTTCAGTGAAGTTCCGGCTCTCGCTCATCTCGGTGTCTGTGCGTGCCTGTGTGTGTGTGTGTGTGTGTGTGTGTGTGTGTGTGTGTGTGTGTGTGTGTGTGCGGGGGGGCGTGCGTGGCGTGTGTGCGTGTGTGCGTGTGTGTGTGTGTGTGTGTGTGTGTGTGTGTGTGTGTGTGCGTGTGTGTGTGTGTGCGTGTGTGCGTGCGCGATGTGGCTCTTTGCAATAACACAGTAAAAAAAAATGTTAGTCTCTGAGTGGCTGTCCATCCCTGAAATAGAGGGTGTTCATAGAGATTCGGTGGGTGACGCTGCAAGAGAACCTACCGCTTCTCTTCGTTCCCCCTTGCTAGATTGGTCCTGGAATCCAGTGTCTCCTCTCCTCATTGTGTCGTTATTATGAATGTCTAATTGTTGACTTTGACACATGGGATGGGTTACCGAGAATGTAATTGATCTCTATGTTCTGTCACAATCATAAAGCCTGTTATGCTGCACAGTTTAAAAAGGAAGCGGCCCATGTGTCTTGAATCATAACCTTTGTTTTTTTTTGGCAAGCGACATGGGTCCGAATATAAAACTCAACCTGTTAAAGTGTCAGGTGGGAGTGGCGGAGTCACCCGCCAATCATGACGTTTGTGCATGAGTGGCGTGCAAGCCGGTGTTAATTTCAAGCCCTGTACTCTTATCATTAATCGATGACTGTTAGATAGAGAGGCAGGTTTGCCATGTTGAAGAAAGTGAACCAACCCATCAATGATGAGACTTCCATATGTAGCCTTCTTGTCACAGACAGGACATATCCAGGTAGGTTTTTTCTCATTCATCTGTAAGTAGAGGGCAGCATCGAAGCACTGAAGGTGAGAGCAGGTCACCGCTCTGCATGGAACCGTAAGTCGCATCTTACCCAACTGGAGGAAAAATGATTCAAGGTCAGTCAAACTGAAAAATGTAAAATGACTGCATTTTTTGTAAAAGCAGCAAGTGGCTCACATTATTTGTCTATAATTCTTGTATTTCAATACATTTAGCATACAATATTCATTATAGAAAATCAATAAAAATTAAGATTGGTTTTGAGGGACCCCACAATTTTATTTCCCTGATTTTGCACAATCTGGTGTTAACAGTGCCTTGCATAAGTATTAGCTCCCTTGAAGTTTTTGAACTATTGCCACATTTCAGGTTTCAAATGGTTTCATGTTAAATAGAGTCCACCTGTGTGTAATTTCGTCTCAGTTTGAATGCACCTGCTCTGTCTCAGAGGTCTGTTAAAGGAATATTAGGGAACAAACGGCATCATGAAGACCGAGGAAGACACCAGGCAGCTCTGGGATATTATGGAGAAGTTAAAAGCAGGATTAGCATATAGAAACATTTTAAAAGCTTGAAACATCACACAGAGCAGTGTTCGATCAACCATATTCAAATGGAGAGCGTATCAGACCATTACAAACCGACCAATATGTGGCCATCCCTCTAAACCTTCATTTCAAAAAAGGAGAATACTGATCAGAGAGGCAGCCAAGATACCTATGATCACTCTGAACTGCAGAGATCCATAGCTAAGGGTGGGTAATTCGCCCATAGGACTACTATTATTCACACATTGCTCAAATCTTGCATTTAGGGAAGAGTGGCAAGAAGAAAGACATTTCTCAAAAAGCTACCTGGGAGATGCAACAACCATGGAAGAAGGTGCTCTGGTCAGATGAGATCAAAATGTAACTTTTTGGGCTAAATGCAAAACAAAGTGTTTAGGCGTAAAATTAACACTGCACATCACACTGAGAACACCAACCCACTGTCAAACGTGGTGGCAGCATAATGGTCTGAAGCTGCTTAGAAGAATAGGCATGTCACACGTCACAGGCATGCGTTCTTCACCCCCCCCAAAAAAAAACCTCTGGTCAGATGAGATCAAAATGTAACTTTTTGGGCTAAATGCAAAACAAAGTGTTTAGGCGTAAAATTAACACTGCACATCACACTGAGAACACCAACCCACTGTCAAACGTGGTGGCAGCATAATGGTCTGAAGCTGCTTAGAAGAATAGGCATGTCACACGTCACAGGCATGCGTTCTTCACCCCCCCCAAAAA